TCCCTTTCCAATCATAATCGATCTTAACCTTTCAAAGTCCTCTATTACTCCAGCAGATCAGGCCAAATTTCTTCTAGATAAAGTGGATTGGATTAATTACTCCAAACAGGCTGAGTCATTTCTGAATACAAAGCCATTTAAGGGGAACTGCAGCCATGATGCTGCTATTAGTCTAAAGCGATTCACACGGCTGCTCATCTCTCTATTCCTTAATCCAACCGCTTTTTTAAACGGGCTAGGCTTCCTTGGTGGAAGAACACGCTTTTGTTATTGAGGAAAAACAAAATGGATCTATGGCACCGTCTGCATCGCATCGGACTGTCACGCAATTGCTCTTTCATCTTGCATCTCAAAAGTATTAGAAACAATTATAGCATGTAGATTATCTTGGTTTCTTGAGTCCAAGAACCTCATTACAAAGCAACGAGTTGGTTTCAACCGGGATAGAGGGTGCATCGACGCTCTTTTCCATATTGGTTATTTTACAGGCAAAGTACTTTCCCAACGAAATCATGAGTTGGTCTTCATGTTATTTGAAGCCTCATGAAATCATGGAATGTTGGACTCAAATTCTTCAAATTCGCTAAAATTTCAAATCAAAAAAATTGCACATTTGTCGAAAGCAGATATGTGATGCAGGAAATCGTCTGATGGACATTAATAACTTTCTAGTACGGTCTTCGGTGAAAAAATTCCATTTTAACAAGAGTGAACTTCATATAGTACGTTGTTTGGAAAAGCCATGCGCGCATTAACACTATTGCTTATCTTACCAAAATGCTTGTTTCAAGCAAGATCGACTATGCTTTGATAATTTATTTCGATAGCTGCATATCTAATATCAACATCCTTAAAACGGTCTACCACCAAGCCCTTAGAGCAAGTGTCTATGCTTTTCGGACGGCGCCCATCAAAAATGGTATAATTGAAACTGGTCTCCCAGGTTTATAAAATAGATTTTATGAGTTAAAAGCTCTAAAATCAACCCCAAGCTTCTTAACTCAAACAAATCTATTTTCGGTCAAAATATGAAGAAGATTACTATTGCTACGAAATTTCGAAAGTCGCCGTTTCCAATCGACTATACTTTGTACGTAGCAAAGGAATTAAACATTCCCTTAAAAATTTTCTACTACTTTCGTCTTACACCTCTGTGGATTTTCAAAGATTACCCGTTCGATATTTCGCTGTCTTTGTACAAACAAGAAGACTCTCCAATCTGTAGGAATCTAACAGCTAAAAAAACCCAGGTACTGGAGTAACGGTTGGATTCTTTTATACGCAGATGGCTCAAAATCTTTCTGTCTGGAACCTGCTTGTGCCGTTGTTGATGCTTCAGGTTCTCCTCAATCACACGTTTCAAAGTGCTTTAACTTTCATAACCGAAGCAAGAGTTATCCTTCAGGCTGAGAATCTTTCCCATAATGACAAACTTAAAACTGTCATCATTACTGTTAGTTTGTCTGCATTAAAAGCTATACGAAATCCTACGACTTCGAACTGCAACACCAATCCGGCGATAAAATTAAAATCCTTTGGGTACCAAGTCGTATCGCTTTATTGTGAAATGAGCAAGCTGATCAAGCGGCAAGGTATGCTGCTACTGCACTTCTAATTATGCATGATGTTATGGAAAAGTTCAAAAATTCTTCAAAGATACATTTGAAGAAAAGTTAGAGAGGAATTAATGCAACGAATTCTACAATACCGTCATCAGCAGTACTCAAAACATTCCTCGGGCATACTTTCCATTGAAACTCACTAAAGCATCTTAAAGAAGTCTTCCTTCCCAATCTGCAGTTGTGGACAAATTCTCACTATAAAGCATATTCTCTGTGACTGCCTTAATTTTTGCTTTGCTAGAAGTATTGCATTTGGAACAACTAATCCTTTAATAATCCTAATATATTAAATTATTTATTAAAACAATTAGGTTTAACATCTATTGCTCTTTTCTAAAATAGATCCGCGAGCCTGTATTGCTAGTGCTCAATGTCTTTTCCTTTTTAGTTTAAGTGTTTACTTCATAAGTGTAAAATTGTAATGATAATAATAATAAATACAAATGTATTTAAAATTAATCTGTGGTTTTAATGAAGATTCAGTTTTACATATTAACTTTTCCGATTTTCAATGTGCTGCTAAGCACAGAAGTCGCGCTAAGTTATTGAAAAGAAAATAATTGTGTTTTTACTTGGTCGTAAGCTAGAGCGCTTGCGGAAAGGCTTCAGGTGTCTATTAATTGCCTACTGGTAAGGTAGAGTCTCATATCCTACGTGCTCTTTAATACACTAAGGGATGTTTTCGTGGAAGTGTTTAAATTTTTTTTAAAGGCATTTTCAAAATTATTTTATACATTTTAGTTCAAGATTATTGAGTAGATACGAGCCTGAGAACGACCAGAAACCTTTCAATAATAAGTTAAATTAAAAGTTTGAGTTGAAATTTTGGCCGTTTTCTCTTTTAATTCACATCACGCGAATTGTAAAAAATCATACTTTGTCATCGATCATCAAATCTTCGAGGAAAGCCAGTAAGTACAAATATTTCAACATTCAAGGGTAGTTTTATAGCCTTGGCCGGATAGAATTGCAGACTGGTAGTCAGAATCTATAAACGTGTTCGTTTCGAAACATATTTTTTCAAAATGGCATGCAGTACACGTCGAAGAATTTCCTTCGAATTTCTGACGGAATATGTTTAAAATAACATTTTCGCAAAATTTCTTCGATGAGTTGAACAGTTTTTGTTAGAAGAGGATTACCTTTTATTAAGTCAAAAATTACAACTTTCTATTCCTGTACCTAGAGCCATGTAGGTATAGATCAGGCCTCTAAAAAGTATGCAAACATTTTTAATATATCTACGTTTCTCATAAGCGATATGCGATAGTTTTCGATATCATTGCCAATCTTCTAGCATCGTGACGTTATCACTTTGTGCTATGTAAGCGTAAGAGTATTCAATTGTCTTCGGCATAAAGGTGTGGCTATATATGCTTCGAAGAAATATCCAACCACTCGCTATAATTAAGGAGAGTCGAACCATATGTTTTTAAGAAACGTACAGACTTCAAATATTTCCAAAAAAGACCACTAGTCTTCGTAGTTCTTTAGTCGTCGTCTTAGAAAAGCTCTTCTTCAATTCATTTCAGTTAAGAATTTCAATAAAAAACCGTTTCATTAGAAAGGGGGGCGGGTGTTTGCACTCTATTAAAAACCAGGTGGCATAAAAGTTTCCTTCATCTTTACGATATTTCGAATCTGCCAATCCGAGTCTACAAACATATATATATATATATATATATATATATACATATATATATGTATACATATGTATATGTATATGTATATACATATATATACATATATATAAAGTTCTCTATCCCACTCATCGAAAGTAGTCAAGCACTCTGCTAAGTAAGGTAATGGACGTCTGATGTTATCGTCAAAGCATAACCGTATTCTTTACCATAACTACTTTTACTTTTAATCTAATTATGATATATTTATGTTAAGAGCAATTAAAAATAGTACTTGATGATTTGTATGTTTTTAATGTGCTTATTCAACTACAATTATAACTGCATGAAAAAACATGTCAATACATATAAGAGTCATACCATATAATATAAAGTAAAAATTATTATCATCAATATCACTGAGTTGATTCCACTACTACACTGATGCATGGAAAACCCAGTATTTTTAGGTAAGAGTTAAAAACGCATAGGTAAATATAATGACAAAGAGACGAAGGAAGAGAGGCGCACGGAGAGAGAAAAAGAGAAAGAGAGATTGAGGAGAGTAAAAGCTTTTAATAAAAAGCTCCTCCTTGTATGTCACGTACAGAATCCTTTTTGTAATGAAGATGAAATATCATCATTATTGTCATCATTAACGGTACCAGCAATAACAATAGTAGTAGCAGTAGTAGTTGTAGTAGTAGTGGTAGTAGTAATGTTAACAGCAGCAGCAACACACAATAAGTGTTTATCTTAAATACTCGTAACTAAATACAATTTTAGTCAGTTGCTCTCAATTGTTAACAGTTTAAACATGAACGGAAATCATTTGAAAAATATTCGTTAAACGGGCTTTTTTTTCTAAACATTCAGTGATGAGTCTTAGTTTTTTTTTTAAGTTAAAGAAATTTTGTTGTTTCAGTTTTTCTACGGAACAAAACTAATGAGTTATAACTGTAAAAAATCAAGTATTTTGTTGTTGTGTTTTTGATCAAAGGATAGCAATAACAAAAACAACAAGCAACCGAATTCTTTAATGAACGGAAACAATTCTGTGTGCAATAAGCAAAAAAAGAAAAAAAATTCTTTTGTGCAAAAAAAAATAAATAAAAGCAAAGCAAAACGATTTCAAAGGAAAATGAAAATAAATAAAAAGGTTTGATTCACATCTTCTTGCATTTAATGGGTAAGAAGCAGAAAAAAAAAAAACACACACACACACACACAAACACTTCAATTGATATGGATATCAACGATACTTGAGGTCGGAAATTGTATTATTTGTAACCACAATTCACATATGAAATAAACACAGAAAAAAAAAAAAAAGAAAAGGAAGAGACAAGAAAAACGCAGAGGGATAAGATTAATAAAAGTATCTGACTTTGTTTGCAAATTGCTTAAGGTTTCGGTAAAGGATTAATAACAGTAAACCAAGACAAGACAATTGACTTTTACGATTTTGGTTTTCCTCTACATTTCAATTTATTTTCAATTTTTATGGTTTCAGATAACAATAGAAAACCATTTATGATATCTTTTTTAGAAAAGGATTACGTGGTGTTGATAAATAAATGTAATCTGTTAGTGAAATTAAAAGCGTAGAAAGCAACAGCAATTGCCTAAGACTATACGCGGGTTGCCCCACGAGGGTGCTACCATGCACGACAAAGGGTGACAAAGCCATTAAAATCATTAAAATCTCGCGCTTTGTCTTGCTTCAAAAATGACACGTTCATGCCCGAAGGGTTAAAATCCGGATAATATATCAAATACTCGGCAGTTGTCCTCATTTCCCTATTCACAAGGATAAACTGAGAAGTGCCTAATATCGTGCATCTTTAAATGCTCTAATTTACGATAAACTAAAGCCTCTGTAGGAAGTTATTTGACGTTTTCTGGGTTTCGTGAGGGCCTTTTGAAGCATGATTCGAGGTTCTCGCATCATTTTTCTTGAAAAAATAACAACCTGCCGACCAACATTGAACTTTCTACAAGTTCTAGAATTAGTTCCTCGATATGTGCACTTTTTCTTTTAAGTAAGTTACCATTTTTTCTCGAAGACTGACGCGGTCGCTTGTGTCCTAATTTCGAGGTTATTGGAGATGCAAGAATGATTCATTAAGAAACTGCAGTTCCTCAACTACTTCCAGCAAGTGTCGTAGGATAAGCAAACCGAACATTTTGTGCAGCACAGACAGCATAGCACAGCAACTACCCCTACTACACAACTTAGCAGACAAGGAGTACGTCTATCAAGTCGGCGTACTCTGGTTCTACGCTGATTGCGATAGACGACATTTTGATGATGATTGCGGTGTGGCCATGCTATAGCGAATGCAATATCGGTAAAGGCATAACACTTACCGATCGATCATACACCTCACAAGCTAGCTATCACACCTACTCCTTCTCACTTACTTGGGCTTACTTTGGAAATGTTAGACGATCAGCTTGCATGTCGAAAAACCCTCGCATAGTGCTAGCGTGCATCAAGACGCATTTTTTCATTTTCTTTTTTGCAAGAAAGCACTTTTGCCACTCACATTATCCTTTTGATAGGTGTTATTATTATTACGTATACGCGTGCGTACATAAAGGCAGTTATATATATATATATATATATATATATAGAGATTTTCTTAGAAACTTTTTATGTTGTGTGGTTTCTTTTTTTCTTTTGTAAGTTTGCGACTCGAATGATAACAATGACACAAGCAATTAAAATGAATATTTCGCACAAAGAAAGAGACGGAAATTAAATAAGGAAAGACAAAAATTAATAGTAAATAAATTAAATTTCCAATTAAATAAAAGAAAAAAAAACAATGAAATTTCATTATGCTGTTGCCATTTGAAAGCGTTTACATGCAAATGTTTACTTAAGAAATCGAGTTTTAATAGTCAAAGTCATCTTAGCGGCATGGATGTTATAAACAAAGCAAACAATTTGAACACAACTGAAGAACAACGTTCGCCTAAAGGTTCAAATGGTAAGTTAAATCATTTATCTATGCTTTTTATCTATTTATTTATATCCATATATCCTTATATTATATTGATTTCATTCATTCAGTACATGTTGATTGACATAAACGCTTATGCTTGAGATTAATAAATACTCAATTGATTATTAAGATCAATATTTTTAAAAAGTCATTATGCGTAGGTACACGGTTGGTTAGCGTAGGGTGTTTTATAATGTTTCTACTCGTTTCAAATTCAACTGACTATAAAGGAATTCTAGGTTGATCTTACTTACATTTTCGGCAAATTATATTTTGCGGATATTATGGGTGATTTTTGAAAAAAGTTTCAGGTTTCAAACCGAGAAGCGAACTCTTCGAAAAAAGTCCATCACGCTTTTACTCTCGGAATACTTTTAGTTTTTTGTTCCAACAGTAAAAAAAAGGAAGCATCCTTTTTCAAGACCTGTTACGTCTTCATCTTCCTTTTACAAAACCTGACAATTTTTTTATTTTCTTCACTTGTCGTGTAAGAGTACATTAAGTTTGTACATTTGTATGTAGCTAGCATCCAGAAAAAGTTGAGACAAACCCGCCTTTTATTATACTGACTGATTCAGAGACAACTTCTCAAACGAAAATTTGGTGCAATGACGTGTTCGGACCCATGCATCGTTCCTCATATAACACCTGATTTTGCAAAATCGTTACAATAAATTTGAAAATATTGCAATTTTCAAAATGCTTCAATAAAACTCGCTGAGCAATAGCACTTCGACATTTTAAATTGATGTGAAAAATTTGCTTTTTGATCACTCTCGTGTAACTATTCCTACGAAAATCGAACCTTTATGTGGTGAAAGGATCTAATTTTCCGTATTTTATAGCGAAAATCACGGCAAATCGGCGAACAAGTCAATCTTACCGAATTTGGTTCACGTAGGTCAATTTTTTCGTTATCACCGCCTATAAAGGTTCTCCAGCAACACGAATCCCTAGATGTGAAAAAGGCCTACAAAATATCTAATATGTTGTGTTGAAAATTTATTCATGATAGTAATTTAACATAAAAATGAAGTAGATCAAATTTGGACGACATGGATCCATCCGTATAGGATTTCTCATGATTAGTTAGCCGTTCAGAAAAATTCCAATTTTAATTTCTGATATTTTATGATAAAAGTTGGTCCATGGTAGCAAAATAACCAAAAAAATGAACAGAAGGGAAATTGGGTCGCATAAGTTTATTTGTAGACCCCAACGTATATAGGGATTATCATAAAAGTCTAATTTCTAGTTGTTTGCGACTGAAACTGAAAAATGATAAAAAGTTATATTTCCCAATTTTTAGGCCATGTGATACTTTGGGCATCCTCCAACATGCGAGCCTTCACAGAAAGTATACTTTTGCAGGGAAATAATGTGCTGTGTTATTATCAAATCGGATAAATAATTGTTGGCGAAGTGGTTCAGGGTGTCTAGAGGTCGGCCTTGTCTGACTATAATGTTAATGTGCCTTACCTGTTTTAAAATAAATTAATAACAAGATCATATATATATCGCTGCCTAAAAAAAAACTGCAGCATATGGATGCTAAGAAACACTCAAAGTGCCCTGGAAGAGTAGATAATCGAATCGATATCTTCTTTCCATTTCCTTTTCGTTAATGTCTCGGGCATAAAGCATATAAAATTCATTTTCGTTTATCCTGGTCCTGAATCTTCTTTATTTTGTGAAATACTTTCTGGCCCAAAATATGTACTCTCAACGCCAATGTTTCCGAAGAAGAAAATTCAGTGAGGGAGGGCCCTATTATTCGGTTGAAGAAGACATTTGCAATGGTGTTCTCATTACATAGCTTTAGAACCGCGAGAGTTTGACAAGACTAACTTTAAATAGTGATAGTCTAGAGATAATTTGTTGAGTGACCAAAATGACTATGAAAACTATGAAAAAATTTTCAATATTTTGCAATGACACTTCCTGCAAAGCGATGAGAGCTCATAGTAAAAAAATTTGAAGATTTGTCGATCTTTTCCGCTCGAGAAAGGCCATTATATTTGGCCTCATGATATCACTACGGAAATAACCAATGGCGAAGAAAACAGATTTGAACCATTTAACCAATCAAGGAAAAATAAAATTTCTGCATTTGAAGACGAAGTGAATTAATAGTGAAGTGATTAATGAAGTGAATGCTCAGTCGCGAATTAATGCTGAAAGCAAATGAAATTCAGGCCATTTTGAAAAGGGAGTGTTATCTGGCGAAGAACATATATGCGAAAAAAATCGTGACGCTTGATTTGTCAAACTGCATGGATGGGCCCAAAACCAAAGTTACAATTATGTAAGATAATGCTTTGCCCTTGGCGGATTTGGAAAGGGGTCGTGCATGATGAATTGTTCATGCCTACTTGCATTTGATTTCGGCAAGTGTCTAGACTTGCTCAATAGGTATAGACGTCCTCTTCTGTTACAACAATGCCAGACTGCAAAAATTTTGCAAAAGAATTAATTTCGCCAAAGGTGGAAATTTCTTGATGCTGTAAAGCCCATTTCAAAAAAGGCTCGCGAAAATTCCTTAGCTCTTTTTTTCGCCTATAAATAACAAAAATTATACATTGATCGAAGAAAGACTTTATCGGAGAAACTGCGCTTGATTTAAAGTATCAGGAAATTACGTTCGATTGTTGGTAAAAACTGGCGATGAACTTTTTTCTTGGTTAGGTCAACACATGTCTGACCATCTCGAGTGAAGTTCTTAACTTTATTCATTGATTAAAAGGTGGTACATGAATTTTAACAATTCCCGGCACTTTTTGCTCGCACTATTGTGTGTGCTCATAAACTAATATAAGTAAGTTTGTATTTGCATTATCTAAAATAGAATGATTGAATAGTAAGTAAATATTATGATTTGAGTACAATTGATTGACAATTGAATTTTTAATTTTATTCCATACTTCCATAACTCATTTCCGGTGCGACAGCATAGAAAGACCTTTAAATTTATTTTCGATTGTCTACGATTGTCTTTCGAGTACACATTTGATAAAATCTATATTCAAGTATCATTCATTTTTCTTAAAAAAAATTCCCAACTACATATGACTTTATCTCCATATTCCTTTGATGCGGTACTTTTTCACTTATTTATTTATTTATTTATTTTTTTTTTTCCTTTTTGTCCTTTTAAGCGCATAGCTTCAGCAAATCAATGCTGAACCTTTCAACTTGGGCATAATCTCTTGCTGTTACTTTTGCCTTTTCTTTGTTTCTACTTTAAGTTTAGCATACTTTTAGGATTTTTATGTTTGACTGTCTAGAGTGATACGCAGATGGTATGTGTATAGGGGTGTGTCAAAATGAACCGAGATATATTGGATTTCATTTTAAGATTATACGCCTTAAGTAGTAAAATCAAAGACATTGATGCGAAAGACACGAGCCCAAGCAACATGTTCCCCCAATACTGGTGAATTCATGCATTTATTGTATAAAAAAAGTTAATAAACCTCCGTACCGCCGTATGTAGGACTAGAAAATTATCTCGAGGATAAGCTATACAACGTTAAAGCACAAAAACCACAAAAGTTCCCAAAGAAGAAACTCATCGCTGGCAATCGAACAAGTTGCCATTAATTATTTCGATATTATTTCGGAAAAAATTGCTATAAAAGGTTATCAGATTTTTCTTGGCTCACGCAATAACGAAAGCGACAATTTCCGATCCATTTGTGCCTATCCACAAGTCACCCAGCACTTGTCCGTTTATTCGCTTATAGTTACATCGTAATATTCTTTTCACTTTCAAGCTTTTCCTAGCAACAGTCTTGGAAAAATTTTTACAAAAAAATTTTTTTTTAAAACTGTTGATGTTTTAATCTTACTTGCTGCAGGGTTGTTGAAATTGTCCTGGTAAGTGAAAAAGAGGTAAATATTTCGTAAAACTTCTAAAGCTTTTCATAATTCTTTCACGTGAAAATTAGCGGAACTATAAAAAGTGAAGAAAATATCGAAGGCATAATGGCTATGGTCACCTCTGGAATAAATAGCATATTTTGGTCAAATACTTTATCCTATTACTATGTGGGAAATTCGTACTGCGACCTGAAAGATCCATTGTCCTCCCGCCGTCTTCTTTTATACGGAGAATCATACCTAATGTGGCGTTCGCCAAACAATTTGTGTTTGATTCATGTTTGATTCTGCAGCTGGCCACGCATTCACATAGGATATGATGGAATGTTTTCTTTCGTGGAATCTACGTAAATCGGTATTACATATCTTGCAGGTGATACCAGAATGTGGTATGATACGCGAGGAAATCGAAGGTCAAACACGGGTCACTGTTCCGTAGGTGCCGTAGCTTAAGTGGTAAACTTTTTTGCTTGCTATCGTGCTACATTATGCTTCCAACGACAAGGTGGACGAACACTTTGATCTCGCCAAGTGACTTCACTAAAGACATAAACCGAAGCGTTCTTCAGGAATGGCATAATTTAGACGCGTATTGTGGGAAACATTAATTTTCATTGGGAAATGACTTGTTCTAAGTAATCGTTATGTTTGTACATAAAAGCGTCAAATTTCGTTAAGTAAACAACTTGCAGTCTTTTGTACTATTCCCTTATATTCATAATCCAGTTAAGGTTTTAATGATCAGTTTATGAGAGCAAGGGCAGAGTCACCCGGTTTGTGGTTAATTTTCAGGAAAAACAAGAAACACGAGAGCACAACTTGCTTCACCCTAATAAATGACAACATAAAACGACGCTGCATTTGAGACACCCTTTGTGTACAATATGTATGCGTGCACACATATACACATGTAAATAGTCACAGTAAGATTGCACAAATTTATGAGTATATCACTGGATATATATTGTATTATATTATATTATAAATGTACATATTATACTTATTATATTATAAACGTATATACATATGTATTAAGGCTTAGTTTTGTGTAGTTATTCTTCAGCGGATTACAGTTTTTTGAACATGTTGACAAGGATTATCTTTTT